GGGGGGGGGGAGGGAGAAAAAAAAGAAATATATACACGTGCTGCTGTGTGGTCTTCGGTGCAGTACCTATTCCATTGTTCCCACCAGATTCAAATTTTCTGCTCTTTTAACCTTCGTCGGCCGACTTGACGCATGTTTTCTCTATCGCAGCCGCCGACTCCGCCGGCCATGTGCAGCAGCATCGGGTGCCCCGACGGCTACATCCCCATCCCCAACCATGACACCACCGAGTGTCCCGGCGGCGACTGCACGGTGGAGGCGTGCTGCGAGGCCATGTGCGCGTGCTACGGGTGCCCGCACCACTACCTCCCGATCGAAAGCGAGGCCCAAGAGCTTTGCCACGGAGGCGTCTGCACCACGGAGCAGTGCTGCGAGCCGGGTGCGTGACGGTTTCGTCGTTCACATCCATGTCGTGGATTGTTTGGCTGAGTTGTCCCTAGGCACCAACATGTTGTTGTGGTCTTGTGGCGTGTCGAAAGTCGTTCCCTAATGCGGGTCAAAACGCAGTCATGATTGTCCTGACCCCGACAGGAACCAAGTAATACCTTGCCGTCGACGTCTGGTGCCGTATGTACTCTTGATATTTTACCACAACTCTCCTCTCCCGCTTGCCGATCACCGCAACGTAACATCCATCACCCCTCACCCCCCAACCCCCCCGCATGATTCGTAGCCCGCCCAACGTGCAGCAGCATCGGATGCCCTGACGGCTACACCCCCATCCCCGGCCATTACGCCACCGAGTGCCCCGACCGCGATTGCACGGTGGATGTATGCTGTGAGGCCATGTGCGCGGGCTACGGGTGCCCGAACAACTACACCCCGATCGAAAGCGAGGCCCAAGTGCTCTGCCACGGCGGCGTCTGCACCACTGAGCAGTGCTGCGAGACAGGTGCGTATGACGGTTACGTCGTATCGCATCCGTCCATGGATGTTTGGCTGAGTTTTTCCTGGCCAGCAACATGTTCTCGTGGCGTGTCGAACGTCGTGTGCTCTACTGTGGGTCAAAAGCCAACTCGTGTTCGAATCAAGCATTCATGATTGTCCCGACCCCGACAAGAACCAAGTACAAATTCTCTGCCATGTGCGCAGTGCAGATACCTTGCCGTCGACGTCAGGTGCTATATGCAGTCTCACTCAATCAATATCAGTCTCGTTCGTGTCCCTACATAGTCTACAAAGGTGATAGCACCCCGGTTCTTGTGTGTTGGTTATCAATTTCGCTCATCATGTTTCCGCCCACTTTTCTCACCCAACACATGTGCCGTTCAACTCACTCAGGCGCCGCGACGCCTGCGGAGCCCGACTACGACAACTGCTCTTCCGTCCAGTGCCCCAGCGAGACCCACCGCCCCATCGAAGCCGCTGAGGAGAAGAGGTGCAGGACCGCCGACTTCATGGCGCCGACACCCGCTCCGCGTGACGGGGGCGGCAGCTACGCGTTCGACTACGAGTTGTCCTCGGATGAATGGGACGACTATTTGGCGGGCTACAGCTATTCCTTCGGCTACAGCACGGGGGAGGAGGGCGGCATGGCGTTGGACGGGGGGAGCCACTGGGACGGAGCGGAGGAGGAGTACTGCGACCTCAGCACTTGCTGCGAGGAGAAAGAGTGTGAGTTTACGGTGACCTATTGGGTCTACTGTAGATTGAGACTGGTTGTGATCCGTCAAGAGTAATACCGAACTTGGTCGACACTCCTTGCAGTAGGCCAGTATTATTCCCCAAGGAAGAACCGTCCGATCCCCAAGGGAAACACAGTCCAATGCTGCTGCTGCTACCGTAACACGCAAGATATTCCATGCTTGCGTAGTATGCCACGCCCCTTCGTATGCCACGCGCCTCCTTACCCTAGACCTTACTCCTGCCTCTTGCCCCCGTCTTCCTCCCCAACAACTTGTGTCGGGTATCTCTGTTTCGTTCGTTCGGTGCAGACGGCATTTGGGGTCTCGAGTGAGGGTCGAACGCTTCATCCGAAGTCGTAAGATGACAGACGACAACGCACAATTTGTCCACGCGCTCGTCCAGCCGGAACGGTCATCTCTGGGTACGAAGCTGGCAACAAAATAAAATTCCACCGACGGACGCTGTACTCACGCGACGTTTACGTCACGTGAAGCTTTCGATATTTTTCCATGGCGCCATCCCTTTTGAGGTGGCGTTTTTGACGGGCTTTCTCAATAGCTGCGCGCAAAGAAGAACACCTAGTGGCCTGCGCCAGAGGATTAAGTCGGGTGTGACGATTATGTGCATGAGGTATGCATTCGTAAGTGTTTTGATACTGGGAGAGGGGGGTGTTTGTGTGTCAACTGGGGGGTAGGGGCATATTTCTTGAGGTCCTTGTTCATGCAGGCCAATTATGAACACAAGTATCGTACCATTCACAGTCGCCGTGGTACCGGTATTAACCTGCAGGGTAGAAGCAGATTGTCGCTCTTGAGTGCTGTTCTCGATGTTTGTTCTCGATGCTTGTTTCTTGATACTTGTTTCTTAATGCTTGTTGTTGTTTTTGTTGTAATTGCTGCTGCTGCCATGGTCTCCGATCTTCGGAAATGAGTATTGCACGACCATATCGTGTATCAGCTCTTCCTGCTTTGTAGGTTTCCTTTTCTTGATCGGCCTTACGCGGGCCTTACGCGTGGTAGTGCAGTTGTCAAGCGACTCTGAAGCTATGTTACCAATCCAACCAGGTTTTAACGAGCCATTGATGTACGTGGTGTACGTGATGACCACTTCCGTTCGTTCGTCTAGAGCATCGAATCGTTAGGGCCCCGTTCGTCGAGCATTGTTCTGTATGCCGACACATCATTGAGTGTGTAGTTGCCTTCGTTGGAATCGAATCGATTGGTGGTGGTCTGGGGTAGACGTTCTTGTAAGGCGTAGAGAGAAGAGTTTTTGGATTGGGTGCTGTCTGTCTCCTTGGAGGTTTTGTGTTGCTTTGTTCACCTGTTGTAGAAAACCACACCTGTTGTAGAAACACTGTCTCGTACCGAAAGAAAATTGAACTACAGAAACAAAGTTTCAACACAAAAACCGCGGCCGCTCGCAACGCATGCAAACACATTCATGTGAATACGTTGCACCATAGGGCCGCTTATGGCCCAATGTCTGGGTGCGTCTCCTGCTACAGGAAAGGGCCGCCAACCTGTAAGATGCCAGCCAGCAGTAGCCAGGCAACGAACATGCAGCCAGGCAGGGTAGATTGTATTGTATGGATGGACGTATTTCCGGTCCGATAGGTCAGGGAGAAGTTGAATGATGAGCATTCCAAGCTCCACGAATTTCTGGCCCTGCCGTGCTCGCCATGCGCTCCTAGTGACGACCCCGAGGCCCACGTCGCCAGGCGTGCAGTACCTCGTCTGTTTTCGTCCACCGCTTCCCGGAGACGATGAAGGGCATCTCCGTCCGTAAGTCAAAACAAAACAAACCAGGTATCTATGTAATACACGTCAGTCAGATGCCGAAATATTGAAACGCCCTTTATTTCGCCACCGGATTCCAATCAGAGGACTGTACCGGGTCGATGAAAGTCCAGGAGCAAAGGAAGAGTTTGCAGGTAAGCGTTCACTCCTTCGAATGCATTTGTTGGCGCGTGTCCCCGGAGGCCCTCCGAAATTGGAGGTCTCTTTATGAGCTGTTATTATTGTAGTGAATTTAGCTTCGACCGAACGACGCTCCGCGAGCAGGATGTGTCGCACACCGTGGCCGGCCCAACACAATCCAACTAACCCAAACCTCACGCACAAACATCGCTTGGCCTAGCGGCCACGAACTGGGCGAGAACGCGGCTGCGCCGCGTTGTCGGAATGCGGAACAGAGAGAGGGCGCTGTAGAGGAGGAGTCGACCGCCTGAGGCAACGCTCGACCAATCAGAGGGCGTAAAAGCCCGTAGACGGGGGAGTCAGTAACAAACCGTAATAAATATCTACGGATTTTTTCACTTCTTCCCTAAGACGTTCACTAAATCATACTAGCATGGGTACCACATTTTAGTTTGTTTGGTGCTCAGTGTCGTCTGTGCCGCAGGATCGCCTACTACTCTTGGGAGGTGGAGGACAGAGCAGGCATTTATTCCAAAAGGTTACCCCAACCAGAAAATTGTAACCACACACGACGTACCACTACCTCACAACACACCATCAAAGGGCCTTACACTTAGACGGGGGGCGTATCGCACAAACTTCGACGGATGACATCTTGGCGGGGAGCTATCGTAAGTCTTTCATTCGTGCATCAACTCGTTGGACACAGAAGGATACACGAGAGGGCAAAAACACTTCTAGCCATGCTGGCCAGTTGTCTGACCCGGGATTTCACCGACGGACACGCACTGCTCAATGGAAACATTCGTCGAAACTATTGCCACTTCACAAATGATTGAATATCCTTCAATTCTGAACGGGCGACGCAACAACCTCGTCGTTGTTGTAGCACGGAAAACACATGCTAGACGACCGGAGTGCACACAATAGATTCCCAACGCCGCAATGGGACTGACGGCACGCAAGGATCATAGCCACCCGGAATTGTCAACCCGTTGACGAAGAAGAGGCCCTTCAAATTTATGTGAGGAAGTCGTATACCTTAGAAGATATCGAACAAAGGCTCGGTTACTTTAGGCTCCCATTCTGTGCTGGGTCAACCGACAACAGCGGCGAATCCACTAAGAACAAACCTCTCCCTAGGCCGCTAATTCCCAGAACACCGAGTGTTTTCGGCCGGGGGATACACGTGCACACCGGGATACAGACCGTTAAACTTCGAAAAGGTCAAATTTAGGCAGGATGTGCAATACAAAACCCTATATACTTGGACATAGTTCGACCACGGGGGATACGGCGACCTTCATCAGCAATGAGGCCACCATGGGGTCCCCCAATACCAATTCCTGTGCAACACCAAACTTCACCATGGGAAAAAAACGTGTGAAGGGGTGGCGGGTACTGTAGCAGTTCGTCCTTGTAAGCACTTTCGCATGCACAGCGCAAACCACCACCCCGACTTGGCGACTCAGGCTGGCCACGTTACTTGGGGCACCCGCCGATGTCGAAGAGGCCGAAGTGTTTCTCGTGGGCGGCGCCGTCCTTCTGGCACTCGTCGTACAGCTCGAAGAGGTACACATCCAGGCGACCTGGCCTGAGCGGGGTCCCCTTGATGCTGGCCAGGGTGGCGCCGGCCGTGAACCGCCTCGCGCTCTCCTTGTCAGCCATGTCGGATCCCGCTGTCGCACCCCGTTTGGCCACCACCACAGCATTGTCAAGGAACGGGAAAACGTTTTAGTCGAATGAGCGGGATACCTTGGTTGATTCTGAGAGAGAACGAAATCGAGTACAAGTGGGGCAACTTTGAGAAAATTACGCGCTTGAAACATGTGCTGCGGAGGCGAGATGCTGTGTGGGTGTGTGACTCGCGACAGGCCACAGGATGCGATTCTTGGACACGTATCCCAACAAGGCTGAATCAACTAAATAGGACACGAAAACCGTCCTTTCGGTGTACCGCTACATGGTCTCCTCGCTTAAGAGCTCGGCAGTTAGCAACGCCATGCTCAACAACATGTCAAAACATGTGCATGTGAACTTGAGCACCATATTGTTGTGCCCGAATAAGGACGGTTACGTAGTATTTGTGGACAAATCCTAGGAAACAAGAACCCGAGACTCCGCCAAAGCCTAACGTTCTAATGTGCAGGCGCCAACTGTAGGATAGTGCTCACACCGCGTTTGTTCGTGGTTGCCAAGGGCTCACCTGTGGGCCATCCAACCTCGGTGACAACCATCTCCAGCTGGTCCGCTCCCACGATGCAATCCTTGAGCTTGGATATTCCGGTCACTACCGCGTCAAACTGGGCGCCGACATGGATGAGACGGAGAACGCAAGTGTGTTGCAGTTGAGATGGCTGGAGGGGTGGTACTGGCTGCTCAAAACCGAGCCTACACACCAAAGTCACGCACATCACCATCAACGTCACCGCCGACAACAACTACACCGGCAAACGCAGCAGCACAGCAGCAGCAGCGTCAGCATCAGCATCAGCACAGCGTCAGCAGCATCAGCATCAGCATCAGCATCATCGTCATCATCATCATCATCATCATCATCATCATCATCATCATCATCATCATCATCATCATCATCATCATCATCATCATCATCATCATCATCATCATCATCATCATCATCATCATCATCATCATCATCATCATCATCATCATCATCATCATCATCATCATCATCATCATCATCATCATCATCATCATCATCATCATCATCATCATCATCATCATCATCATCATCATCATCATCATCATCATCATCATCATCATCATCATCATCATCATCATCATCATCATCATCATCATCATCATCATCATCATCATCATCATCATCATCATCATCATCATCATCATCATCATCATCATCATCATCATCATCATCATCATCATCATCATCATCATCATCATCATCATCATCATCATCATCATCATCATCATCATCATCATCATCATCATCATCATCATCATCATCATCATCATCATCATCATCATCATCATCATCATCATCATCATCATCATCATCATCATCATCATCATCATCATCATCATCATCATCATCATCATCATCATCATCATCATCATCATCATCATCATCATCATCATCATCATCATCATCATCATCATCATCATCATCATCATCATCATCATCATCATCATCATCATCATCATCATCATCATCATCATCATCATCATCATCATCATCATCATCATCATCATCATCATCATCATCATCATCATCATCATCATCATCATCATCATCATCATCATCATCATCATCATCATCATCATCATCATCATCATCATCATCATCATCATCATCATCATCATCATCATCATCATCATCAGCAGCAGCAGAAACAGCAACAACGTTCACCACCGATACCATCGCAATTCCACCACGACCACCAAAAAACAGCGACAGCAAGAGAGAGGTGCCTCCATGCCCGCCACAACCAAGCCAGGCCCCAGCACAACCTTGACCGCCGCACCTACCTGTGCGTCGAACATGTTGGTGTAGCGCAAGCATCCCCCTTCTCCGTCGGTATATCCCTCGTCCGGCCCGAAGAGGACGAAGTTTCGTGAGGCGTGTTCTCTCGCGAAGAAAGGGTACACGTTGATGCAGAACGGGGATCCTGTTGGCACCAACAACGCCGACGTCAACCAAGAGCGCAAGAAGAGAAGAAACAACTGGCGGTCCCGAACGAATAGGATACGAACAGTACCGTTTTTCCACCTGAGCCAGTGTTGAATGTAGCGTGGATAAGCGCCTGTATGGAATAATGTTTTCGTTGGTAACACAGGGTTTCGACCAGCTATGTTCTCCCTGTCATGGCCTTTTCATAGATAGGGCTCCCCTTCCGCAGCACAGTACTGCAGGCTTGTTTTCCCTCACAAAGCGCAAATAAACCTTCTTCAGCACGCTGCGCGCCCGGGGTGGGGGCAAACGAAAGCTCACTGGTAGAATCATGCGAAGGGTAGAGATGCAGAAGGGCGGAGTAATGTGGGTGGGTACCGTAAGCTAAAAATAGTCCCTGTTGGGCCGGACAGGGGCACCTTGACGTAAAACGGGTGAAATGTTGCGAGAACAAAACTTGTCACCACGGACAGGCTTTCCATGCCTCGGCCTCCGCTCAGGAGGCGTTTCCGCACACAGGTACATGCTCGCCTCTTGGCAGGCCACGCTTGCCACCGCTTGCCCCACTGCCGACGACAACGCTTGCCAAATTGTTCGGTCAGGCTACAGTGTTGTGTGCTTTCGCGCCGCCAAGTAGTGGAGCACATGGGAGGGTTCCCATCACGCCCCCCGCAAATAAAGTGTCGTAGGTGACACAAGATACCATGCCCCCCGGATACACTTCGAAACTCGGGTACTCCTGAGCAGAACCAGCGGCGTTGCCGGAAATGGCGATGTTGGAACCATCTCGTCGAGAGCTTTCCCTAAGCGTATCATTTGGATTGTACATACCCTCCGCCGTGGAGTAATCGAGTTTTGAAAATCGGTCCAGGGGGTGTGCTATCTTGTGCAACCTACACGGTCGAAGCCTCACCTATCCTCACGAGAAGCCTAACGACCTCGCTAACCACCTCCAGGTGAGCCTCGGCGACCTGTCCCGCGCTTGGCGGGTACGAGGCGCCAAGGATGGACATCTCGAGGGGGGTTACCAGCTTCACGCGATCGCTGAGCCCGGTTTGCTGTAGAGCGGTGTACACCTTTGCAGCACAGCACGGGAGGCGGATAGACTTCGAGTCAGTGCCGGCGCACCAACAATGCTTGGAATTCGAGCGAACAACATGTTTCCCCACGTGTTGTATATATGTACAATCTTTAAGCAGTAGTGCGTGGTCCGGAACGATGTGGTGAGGCCGGGTTCAGAGTCTTCGGCCATCAGGGCTCTATCCCACAACAGGAACAGCAAGTTCGCCCAGTGACCGAAACATTTCCACAAAACACAACACATTACATGGATGTGGGCATGATCGTCGTTGATACAGTATTTGGCTTTTCAATATGTTCTTTCTGGCCCCTTTCCTGTTACCCCTCCGTCATGATTCATTCTAGAAGAGTTTCGCGTTGCATGCAACAACGCTGTGCAAGCTTGCAGTCTCTGGAGACGTGCATTACCCTCAGCAGTTGAGTTTTCGGGATGGGCGTGTCTCGTTCGTACCTCCTTCATACACGGCACCAGCTTGCGTCCGAACATCTCGACGTGCCACGGTGCTAGGGCCTCGTTCCCCACCGCCAGGAATATCTCCTTGTGCACGCGCTGGCCCCTCAGCCCCCCGACCACGGGGCTCAGGTGTGCCTCGACCCAAGCCCTCCAGTTGCTCACGGAGAGCATCTCATGGTTGTTGGCGTGGACCATGACCTGCGAGCCGGTGATGGGCGCGGGTTTCAGCAGCAGAACATTTCTATTAAAATACCCACAGCAGTACCCGCGTTTCGCGTGTGAAGCTTTTTCCGGAGAGAAAAACGAACACCTAAAGGGTCGCCGCGAAATGTGATCCCAGACGTTTCCGTAATCCAGCCACTTGTCTAAAGTTTTTTTCCATCACTTGAAATATTACAGCCAGCTCCCACGGCAGCTCTATACTCGCTAGGAGCTCCTATACGCCTGGTACATTCGGGGTGGGGGGGTGGGAGCGGTGGCGGGTGGGATCGATCGAAAACGTTGACGGAGCTTTTGCCTAGGATGCTGCCTTAAACACTACGTGGGCCAGCTTTCTTTGCAGTCTCGATCGCCGGTGGCGTGCTGAAGGGCAGCGCTTCTGCAGCAGCTCTTCACCCTACTGGTGTGCAGAAGCCTCGCGGCTCGTTTCCTCTGTGAATGTTCCAGGTAAACTGACTTTCCGTGTGGGGTGGGGTGAAGTGCTTGTCCGTTTACAATTTAACCCTCAAGTGCGTTCTGTAGGACACAAAGCCACCGTACGATCCAAAGTACGTGCAAGTTGTAGGTTCATGGCGCCACAAGGCCCTTGATAAGAAATGACTAACTTCCAAAACCTGAAAATCGCCTTTCGAATGTTTGCTTCCGCCGCACGGAACCGGGGGGGGGGGGGGTATCCCACGAAGACATAGGGCGTAACGCGCATCGAACATGCAACACTCACAGGTGCTCATGTGATTACGACGAGTTCATGAAACTACATTACATTGTACTGTACTTCCATCTTCCAGGGACCGATAAAGGAGAACATAATGCTGGAGATCTCGGCTCTACAGCACAGCCAGTGCATCGCGCAAGCAGTGTCACTCCGGGACCCAACCACGTATGGGGTAGATTTGGGAACTTCATGATCAACACGTCGATGCATGCGAAAGCGCCTGCGATGACGCCGCCGCTACTGCCTGCTGAAGGTCTGCCAAAGGCATGCTACGTAGCGCAGCATCTCGGTCAACAAGATCATCCTGTGGACTGACTCCGCTTCACAGAGCGCTAATAGTTGGTGAACGGTTCCAAAGGTTCAAGATAATCTTTTGTCTCTCCTGCCCGTGATGGTGACTCCTAGTCTCAGTTGTTACCTCGCATAGCGGGCAGAGGGAGTGGAGGACTCCAGAATATCTCGTTGATTTCTATTGACTTTATAGGGTAAGTTAGCCTGAGACCACGGGAATCGACTGCGTCGAGTGTTGGATCAGTACGGACATACAAAGGTAATGGGTGAGAGAGATCGGAACGGTTTTTAAGCGAAGACAACAACAACAACAACAACAACAACAATAACAGCATTCCGAAGTATGTAGACCCCACACGCACCTTTCTGATGTGGTCTTGTTGAGCCGTGGGCAAGATGCGCGAAGCATCGCAGTGCCAAAACTTCACCGCGTCACAGGAAAAGTATCCTGATGACCTGGCCTGGGCAAGAGCTTGCTCGATTTTCTCGGGTGCCCAAGGGGTCGGCGTGAGGGTATCCCCGATGTTGACCCCAACCATTCCAAAAGTTCTCAAGAAAAGGAGGAGGGACAGAGCGGTTGGGTTCCGTTGCTGTAACGATTGCACGGGTATGCTATGGGACCCGACCTGCAACGCAACGATATCCGCGCTGCTCTCCCACCCGGGAAAAAGGAAGAGCGGTGAGTCCCGAGTAGCCCGCGGCGTCATTCGGCACGCGTTGCTGCGGTGAAAGAGCCAATCACACTCCGAGTCCCGGAGTCCCGAAAAGGCCGCAGGTTCCGGTACCGGTTCAGAATTCGTACTCCCGACTACTGTCGCGACGAGAGGACGAGACGACGAGAGCCGGGAAAGCCCTCGACAAAAGGCTGCTGCAGGGGTGGACAGGCGGAGAGGCATGTGTTGCTGCTGCTGTTAACTGTTTCATTTCGAGATCATGTTCCTGATCGAGAAGGCTGTGGCTACCTGAGACCTTCCGTGAGAAAGCAAGCGGGCACAACAAGAACACGATTCGATATATGTAGACTATGCATAGTCTAGTCTAAAATAGCAGGGTTGTCATGTGACATGTGACACTGCAGCCCATATTGTTGCAATACCATCTCTTCAGGCAACAGGACCACACGGGCCGACCTAGCTGCTATCTAGTTTTATTGTATGCGTGTGTCCAGTATACGCATGTGAAGACTTCAGCAGGCTTCGACTTCAAGAACAGGTCTCGAGAAAACATGCCGTACCCTGTGGTGTGTACCAATCAACAGGGAACGAAGGCTCCGTACCTAGCCGGGTGCGTGATTTCTGCACGGGAGGTTCCTCAAAGGGCTCACGCAAGCTGTGGCTGCATGAAATCTGCGACGGAATGGACGATTGACGTCCTGCTCGTGTCAGGGTCAACGTTGTACACCGTGACGGCGCTCTGTTGCATCTGGGCTATGTGGAAAATGCGGAGGCACTTGTTCACGACGTTGAGGTAAGCCGGATGTCTGGTATGTTGTCTTCACATTAAACCGTATGTCAGTTGCAAATGCCAAAATCTAGCAAAGACTCTCAGCCCGTGGTCACGAAAGTGCTAGAGCCATCTGAGGATCTAAAGAACACGCACACATGTAACGAGAAAAAGGTATCCAAGAGCCCGAAGAGGTACACCTAAAAATCCCTGCAGCACCGTATGCGTGCCCAAAAACTGAACTGCACGTCCGTCCCACCGTTCGACTACAGTAGCATNAGAACAACCAACCGAAGCCAACATAGCAGCAATTGACAATCACCCGAATCTCTCCCGATCGTCTGTGTTAGGCACTGCAGTGAAAAATATCGACACTAGCTAAGAATCGTTCCACATTGAAGGGGTCTTCCACGATCAGGCACAAAACCAATGCACCCGGGTTAGCCACGCCATCTCTGACGGGTCTCTCTACAAAATCGGTGACGACGCCATCACACAAAACCAACACGGAAAGTCAGAAAAAAAAACGAAAAAAATTGACAACACAGATAGAAATGTTTGTCCGTGCGCCACGGGTCGATGTCGCCCGCATGCTCCGGTGCCGCTGCTCCGTCCGGCGCCGCTGTAGTCAGCCCGAGCATAACGCCACTCGACCTGCTCCGTCCGTACACGCTCTCGTTGCTGTCCTTCCCAGTCCGTTCCTCGCTTTCTCCCTCATTGCACTCAAGGTTCTTGGTCTGAAAAAAATAAAAATTCTCGCGCCGAATGGTCGACCGGCCTAGTTCAGCTCGTCGCCACCTGCTCCCTCCTCCTTTGATGGCGAAGCCAGGTTACTGAGGCAATACAGCTCCCTCTAGCAAACCTAGGGCCGTGTAGTGCCCGTCCACCTTTCTGATGGTGTCTGCCTCCGCGCACAAAAATGAGATGGGCATCACTGCCTACGCCGACGGCCAGAAAGGCCCGCGCATCTACATTTTCCCGCCTGACCCCATCAGTGCCGACCCAACTCCACCACCACACGCACGCCTCGCGGCGGATGCGCAGCAGCAAGAAGGTTTCGGTCATCCCTTGAGGGTGAGTCTAGCCCTGCTCGCCAGAAAGACCCCCCCCCTTCACTACAACCCATGTCTAAGCAAAAGCTTGTCGAGGAGCGAGGGGAAGAAGGGAGAGGTATGCGCCCACCTAATCACAAAAATCACAACGGCGGAATATGTGTGTAAGCATCGCTGAAAACGTATCTGCATTTGCCCTCTGCTGTCTGGGAACCTGTAACTAACTCGTGAGACAGTCTGGACTATTGTAGGGTGTAACGATGCCGTGGCCCTGCCCCACCCCCTCGTCCTCATTCCCGATACCTGCTTCATCGTGTGCAACTTCTTTAGGTCTCCACTGTTAGGGTGCTTGGTCGGGACGACCTACACTCTGCGATCGTGCACCGGGACTAACGTGATCCTCTAGGAGTTGCACGCTCTGAGCCCAAGTGGTCAAATCCAACTTGCGGGCGTCGTGGCCGGCTTGCGAATCATCTTTGGGCCGGCAACACCGGTGTGTCTGGTGTCATCTGATTAGGGGCGGCTGGAAGCCTACAGCGTCAAGGCTATGCCTGGCGTACCCCGAAAAACCTCATCCTCCTCAAGGATACGCAACATTGTCTCGCATCCTTTTGGTCTATGCATCTGAAGTGACGCTATCACTTGGAATGCAGAAGAAAGCAACGTTGGTGACTGATTTCGAACAAAATAATAACTGCTTTCCGTATTTGAACGCGACATTATCTTATGTGGCTTTTAATTCTCACTCTCGTACCGCGACGTGTGGCCGTTCACTCGGTTGCTTTGACTAGCCCCTGGATAGAACGGGATCTACAACAAACTGCTCCGTCCTGTGTCTGTGCTCCTTTCTCCTTAACCTCTGTGCGTTTATGTCGAAATCGTAGACTACATCTTAAGAGAACGCTCAAGTCTGGTCGCGTTTCCGGAACGGGAACAACTCTAGACTGAATTTCATCTGCGAACAGTGCACATGGAGGAAGGAAGCCTCCTTATCGATGTTGCCCCACATCTTCATTTCCATGAAAATCAAGGCTGGACTCCAGTGACAGCGTTCACCATCAAACCCAACCACTGTAGGGATATCCTGTCACCCTCATCCTCACGAGCTGTTCACACGACCTGCACTCCGATGCTCCTATTCCCTGAGCTGCTGTTGTTGGCTCACACATGAGCGAATGCAGTCTTCAAGGATACCAAGCGATGAACGCGCCTCAACGGCCCGCTCATTCCCGCCCAGGACACGTCTTGACCCAGAAAACACAAACGGCCCGTCTGCAATTTCAGGTGTCTACCGGAGCCAATATAGCATGCGTGCTCCGTATACTGGTCATGTACGACCCAGTCAAAAAAAGGAAGTATGGGCGCTATCCCAAAAAAGATTGCATGTTCCAAGCGCTGGTCTGGACGTTCATTCTTCTCGAACTTGGAGCTTGGTCAAGTGCGTGCGTGACCGGAGCGGAAGGGTTCGAGCCACACAGGAAGTACAGTGTTTACGATGCAGGCATAAAAGCCAAATCTGAAAGGAAGATTCACTCGCATTCCATTCCAGCCCTTGTCGAGAATGACGTAGCGTTCGCGATCGATCTGAACCGCGCAAGCGAACATCCGTGGAATATATGCTACCCGTGCAGAAAGAAAAACAGTAATCTTGGTGGTTTTCCAGCGTTGCTGAACATAATGTGGTGAAACAGCCGAACAACAACAATGAAAACCATTCTTTCATAAGCATGCGGCCCTCGCACAGACAAACCTCCTATTTCCCAGCATTACCCAATACGTTATTTCATTTTTGCGGTACACGTCGTTGGTCCGGAACTCCTTCCTTGGCTGTTTCTTCAGGAAACAGGGTACGAATGCAGGAAACTTAGATACAACTCAAAGAACGGATTATGCCCTGTCCAGAATGAGAATCGGAAACTCGCTAGCCTGTCGCCAACGGGTTTGAGACCTCACATAGGCTGGCGCGGTCTGCCCGATAGCTCGAAAAATTCGTAACATCATTTTCTTCAAGCTCACTAGTATAGACATCAAGCCTTCCTGAAATGTGCACCCTCGCGTTCAGAGGATAAGTGCAGGAGAAGTGTGCTTGCTGTGGGGTGCGTCAGTGGTGGGAGCCCGATGGGAAATCGGTCTAAGCCTATCGAGTTTTCCCACCGCCCGGGATAATCACGGTTCCGATTCTGATTTCGGAAACTTTCAGGCAAGACCAAGCCCGCAAAGAAATGGCAGTTTTTGAGACCACCGAAGACGGCGTCGTAACGGACGTGGGGCGCCAGTCAAAAACTGGACAAAGGACGTATGAAGTGCTATTGTTGTTGTTTTCTTTCGAGTTGCTTCATTATTTTTCGGTTTCTAGGCCACACGTTGGGGAGCGAGATACACGGAACGAACATCGTCTCGCCACCCACATTGACTACGAGGCGCGGCGTTGACTCCTACAAATCCGTCTCTCTCCCCGCAAATAATACCAGCCGTGGAACTGCGCCTGCAAGCGTAGGAGTCACGAAACTGACCAAGACCCCAAATGGCACACACCATTCTACAACACCTTTTAGCTATACTGCCGCCGTCTACGTTGGACGGCCACTACCCCTGTCCTTCCTTCTCTTCACACGCTCTGTAGATTCAGTTCGTTCTAATCTCGCTACACCGCTGCGTGCTTTCTTCTCGACGGACTGACAGGAAGGAGTTCTAATTTCTTCCCCTGGTGACCCCAGGTTTCCGAACGGTTCATGAAACTACCATCCGAAGCTGCCACACCAATAAACCACAGTTTATTCTGTCTGTTCGACGAATAATCTTTCCTGCTATTGCGAATACATAAGTGTCGAGGGTATGGTGGTCCGATCTCCTCAAAGTGTCCCTGCTTAGGCGTTTTGAGCTGGAGGTCGCGTCGTATTCCGTAGCGCCAGAGGCGTTGGCTGTGTCCAACAATCAGACCAAGGGTTAGAACACACGTTGTTCATGTGCACCTTCTCGATATCGTCGTCTTTGCTGTTTTCGCTACATACGGGCATGGACACGGCTCCTTACCAGGCGAGGTCGCTTAAAGGGTGACTACTGTTGGCAGGGGGCGCCCGCTACCCAGGCCCACCTGTTCAGGGTGTGTGAGGCTTGGGATAGGGATAATTTTATATAAACCTGTCCGTCTCTCTGTCACTGTTTTGATCTCTGTCTGTGTCTCGTGGGCGTTCCACCATCTCATTCCCAAAAGAAATTCGAGCGCCTTTTCTCCTTACCCTTGCCAATGTTTCACGTACGAATGACACCGTTGCCACGTTCAAGAAACCTGGAGTCCAACGCTTCTACAGTAGAACTCGACACGCCAATTGAATCTACCAAGAGTTCTTGATTTAGGAAAGTCTCGTCTGCCGTATACAGCTTGACGTTCTTTATGTGCGGAATGCTGTCTACTCCAGGATAGCGACGAGGGTATCAGTTCTTGGTTTGCTATCCATGCTGCAACCTTGGTCGCTGCTGTGCTTCTGAGTGGCCAACTGAGGAAAGTCCACGACATCTGCCAGCTTTCGCGGGACACCCAACGCCTCGGCGCCCTTGTGCTCTGGACATTCGGTGAGCATTAGGCAGAACACGCCTCCGCCTCCGCCAACATGTTTATTTTCCGGCTTCAACTGCATTATTGAATTCTTGTCCGAGGTTGGGCGATAAAGGGCCACGTGTGTGCTCGACCCAACACCGAGGAACTTCATGGTTGGGAAACAGGACTACTAAATAGGTGGCACTTGATTCCCCGAAACCCGTGGCCATCTAAGCACCCCGTCAACGACGAGGTGTGAGCCCTACCGTTGCAATCAAAAGTGAACATGCTGTATGTAGTGCCTAGCCCTTTCCTCGGTGTGCGGTGTAGTCTTCAAGATGCTGGCAACGGTTGGTTTCGGACGGTCCTGGGGGGTAGGATGCACGTATCGCAATTCAACGCCTTCAAGGTTGAGATGTTTCTGCGCCATAGTAGCGCTCGCCCCCGACCCGCCCTTCCATTTTCGCATCGCTACCACGTTCCGCCCAGGCGTCTAAATCATCACGACTTTCCTGCCTCTGCCCGCCCCTGCCTACAAGTACATGGTAGTGACACGCTACATCATCACGCTTCAGCCCGTTGCGGGGGCCATGCAAGTAATGGGGCGCTAAAGTTGCTGGTCTGATCCGTTGTGACAACGAGACTGATTTGGGTACGTGTTTTGTTCGGGAGGGACATGTATCGACAGAGATTGTAATCGATGTGGTAGGAGACGAAGATTGTAGGACATACGGCTTTGGTATCTGGTAGCTCCTTTTGCTGTGCTTTAGCAGGAAAAATTTCAAACAGTCTCCTTGGTCTCGATGGTTGAGCGTAGAAATATCGCCCTACGGAGAGAGCCGGGAAATTCGAATGTGCCAGCTGTTCCGCTGTTTGACCAAACCCCCCCAATACCGTCGCCACTTCCCTGATCAGCAATATCAAGCCGGTCATCGAATACCTTCGACAAGGTGAGAGCAGCGGCAGAGCTAGGGACGGTCTCCTGGCGCTACTCGTCCCATGGGCTGGGTTGTGGAGTTGTGTCACCGACAGCGGCAACGGTTCCGGCCGTGTGACCTGCACCGTTGCCACGGCGTCGGGGCACAGGCTCAAAGGGATAGGGAGCTCCTCGGCAATGGGACACCTCCACGAAACCCCGCTTGCCGCCATCATGGAGTTCCCTCCCTTACGGCAGGCTTTCGGGGGCTACTTCCGGAAGCCGCTGTGTAGCGAGGTGAGATGGTCGACGGCCAATTCAAAAGGAGTGGCCAACCCATGTCGTGCGGGTCATCTGGACAGAGAGGACAAGCGGCAAGGGTGTTTCAAGCGTTAACCTGACGCTGCCGACACATTACTACGCTATCCGTGCATGGTTCCGAACCTCCCACGGTTCTGAAATGTCTCTCTCGCGCGCGTATCAACGTTGAAAGATCCTTGGTGCCAACGTTTACAGAGGAAGACACGGAGTCCACCGAGAATTGGCGCGTTGGAAGGAGGATTGATTTGCTGTTCTCGAAACGAACTTCGTATGTGTTCGCTTGCCCACCGGAGTCCGGTGAAACGACAGATCCCTTGCTTCAAGGAAAGATGGACTAGTGGATTTTCAAGTACCTCCGCTGCCTCTCTTTGTGTTTCTGCCATCAAGGGAGTTATGGGGTCTACCAGATGCGCGCATTATCGTCCATGGCAGCCAGCCTTCGCTCCCAACTACTCCAACACGACAGAACTGCGACCAAAAGCGGGGAGAACCGGTGTGGCACGTGACGACTCCCGAACGAAATACGGATGTTCTACAAATGTTGTACATATCACCGCGAATACACGCGGCTCTTATACTTTCAGCTCTCACATTTTTCCGGTGTCCTCCTGACGTTGCCGTACGCGCTGTTGTGTCGGATGTCCCTTCTAATAACAGTCGTTCCAGTTCTTGGTTGACGTGTCGGAATTCTCGAGTTTGGTCTATAGAACTAGTGGTTGCGACGAGCGGGGCGGCAAAGACGACTTAGACGAGTTCAACGTAATCGTCGGCGAATACATCACGGACAACTCCAATTCCGAGATCAACATCGACAGCGTTACCAAGAAAAAGCTCACGGGGTTCTGCGAACGCTCAGCGTACGCGTCGCTTGACCAGGTAAGGGTAGGTGCGCACGGCACGCCCGATCAGATGGACAATCAAATAGCTCTGGATCCTGCTCGCTGCACCGTGTGTGACCGCGGAAGATTCTCGTGTTTGATGACCCTTTGGATCGAGTACGGCCGACTGTGGAGGCATCTGACTCAGGTAGACATGCGAAACCGCCTCGAAGAAAGGACCCTAGCCATCACGACCAGCAGCACAACTACTACTACCGAAATGTCGTCTGCCCTAGCGCCAGGGGGGCATTAGAAACTTTATTCGTGAACACCCACAGATGCTACACTTCATGGATTTCAAGTGGGGGTTCCTCCTCTCGCTGGACGTTCAACGGCTGGTACCAAAGCTTCGTACTTTTGCGGAGGCAGTTTACAACAAAGGTTGTCCCCTGACACACTGTTGGGCCTTCATCGACGGAACTGTGCGCGGTATTGCAAGGAATGATCCGGAAGCCGTGCCCCCGTTGATGGGTGGTAGTTGTATAAAAGCACTTGGGTGAAACGGCGTCATGTATGTCCCGCTACATTTGTATGTCTACTTTGGCGAACGGTAGCTAACCGCAACAACCACTCGTACGGGTTCACTTTTACGAATAAGGAGCAAGGTGGGTAACATCGACCCCTAGACTACAGGGAAGATTCCAGAGGTGCTTTTGCCAACACGACGCAAGAAAATGCACTCCGCTATATGCGGCAAACCTCACGAAAACATTGTCGGATGCAAGAAAATAGATCGACCACCCCGTGCGTCATGTTGTCGACGATGTTTGCGTCTCAGGCCTATACGCAACCAGCGCTTTTTCTACAACGGGTACAAGAGGAAGCACGCTACCAAGTTCCAAGGAGTCGTGACGCCAGACGGGCTGTTTGTTGACCTGTAGGGCGCAGAGGTTGGAACGAGGCACGACGGCTACTTGCTTGCGCAGTCTGCACTACTTGAGAAGCTACAGACCCGCATGAACAGCCCTTCAGGCCACCCGTATTGCTTGTATGGTGATCCAGCGTACGGTCAGACCGATCACATACAGTGCCCT